AAAGTAACACTGAAATAAATTTGATCTTTCAGACAAATCATCAAATAGTAGACGAGCATCAAAATCGCTCATGCAACTCTCAATTGTAAAAGAAACAGTACCAGTACCAGTACCAGTAGATGGTGGTTTGTCTCAATCTTCAGCAACTACCAGGCCATCAATGACATACCTGCTCCAACTTCTTGATCCCAGAAGCAACAACTGATCCTCGGCGTATAAGCTGGATTTTCCCAATCAACCAATCATCAAAGGCATCTCCCATTCCCAATTGTAGAACTTGTTTATCCACCCAGAAAGCTTTTCTCCTGAAGTCACTTAAAAAATCAGTAATAGTATAGGCTAGTATGCCATCGGTAATATAGGTTTTTGGCATTGCAGGTTGGAAGGCTGCTTTTCACCTAGCAGTAATATGTTTGTGGCAGAATTTAACAGTCAATAAATTTGAAAGAAAATGGAAGAACTTCTAGAAATACCTTCACAAGGAAAAATATTGCATCAAATGCAAGCCTACGATTTTATGATGTAATACCAAGTGATATATGATGTAATTATTTAAACACGATCACAGAATTCGGTGCTAAGGAAGAGAACAACACATTGGTTGGAAGGTTGCTTTTCACCAGAGTTTGAAAAAATCTCAGAATTGCAAATATTCGTACCATTAAACAAATGCATACCCCTGTAAAACCAGAACCGAAGCCACTGTTCTTGCATTACAGCTCGAAAAATCGGAAGAAATGTACACAAAAGGAAGAAATTGAACGTATGAGAATTATAATTACAGATATATGTCTCAATTCCTGTAGATATTTTCCAAGTTCTTTCAACAATCGAGAGAGAAGAAGTAAAATTAGGGTTCAAAAAATGGAAGAAACATACATGAGTCTCGACCTAGCAGCGGAGGCTCTTCTTCTTACAATTTTGTAACATACATGAGTCTCGACCTAGCAGCGGAGGCTCTTCGTCTTACAATTTTGTCGGTGTCTCACACGTTCGAACGAGCGCAAACTTCGGCGGAACGAAGGCAATACGGCAGCAGCGTGAAACGGTGAAGTGCAGCCCACGAGCGGAAGAAGGAGAAACCGATTTCAAGCTGTGATTTTGTTCTTCGAAATCCATCAACACGAAGATGCTTAGGGTTTTCGTCGAGTGAATGAGAACGGAAACTGTGCGAGAGAGAGAGAGAGAAATGGCGAGAGGAAAATGGTGGAGCAAGATTGCGTGAAAAAACATCTTTTTTATTTTTGGCCAAAACGACATCGTTTATGCCAAAACGACGTCGTTTTAGGCGGACGAAACTGTGAACAGTGTTTTCAAAAGTGGCTCTTTTATTGTATAGGGATTTATATCAAGTAATGAGGTGGCCGATCCAAGAAAAATCACGACTTTAGCAAGCTCGAGGTTCGTGTTTCAGAACTTTTACTAGGATCGATATTGGTTCAATTGTCCATTGGTTCAAATATTTTGATGGAAACTGTTTAGGGTTCAATTTATCGTTTTCGATTTGAATTTAATAACTAGAGTATGCTATATGTACATAATTTAATTCACAGATTTTTTACAGATACACAATTGTCATTTTTCTATTGGCAATTAGCAAAACAAAAGAAAAAACTACGAATTTGATGCGTCAAACATAGCACCTGTATAGATTCTGTGAAAAAATTTCTGCACACGACTTTTTCCTAATAACTATGATAACGAGTAAGCCCCCGTTTGGTGCACATTTTAAATGTAAGAATGCATTTTTACTGTTGATGTGATTGAAAAAGAATGAAAAGTTATTGATGTGATGAAAAATATTATTTTATTGAAAAATGTGTGGTTAAAAATTAGTAAAAGAATGAGAATAAAAAAATAATGTGGACCAAACAGGGCTTAAATAAGTAATTTTTCTCAAAGCAAAATTAAAATTCTTTTCTGATCCTTTTCAATTTGTTTGGCAAATTGAACTTGACACTTAGAATCCGTTTGATTGGCAAATATGAAAATGTTTTCTAATTCTATGTAAGTTGAAAAATAAAAATTCAAGTACCCCATGAGAATGCATTTTATATGAAATTGACAAAAAATGGTTGTACCTTAAAATTCGAATTCAATTTTCACTTTCGTATCAAACAACAAAAGTAGAAATTAAATTATATAACATTTTTCATGCAATTTAAATCAATCAAACAACCCTTATCAAAAATCAAAATCTCTTCTTCGGATAGCGCAGGCGTCGGTCGCACGTGTGTGAAGTCACTGCCATACGTGCCGCTCTCTCAATTCCTATTGGCTCTCTGGTAAATGTCCTTTTAATTCAAGCATCTATTTCTCTCTCACACACTCATTGCTAGAATCCCACACTTCACACTCTACTACAGACCAAACATATACATCCAGAAATGGATACATACATTTAATTTTAGAGAGATAAAGTGAGGGCCCTTTTCATTTTTTTGTTGCCACTACACAACTTTACAGCTCAACTTTTAATTTCCCTGTCTCTCTCTCTCTCTCTATTTCTCCTTCTCAGTTTTGAGCTCAACTTCATATTCACAGATCAAATCTACAGTCCACACTGCCTCCACCGGGTATTTTGTTGTTTTACTGATTTTAGGTAAAAATTCCTCAGTTTTGCTGATTTAAGACGGCATAAATTTGATACGCTCACCGAAAAATTGCCCAAATTGTGAAAAAAATTGGGTGTTTCTTATTCTTGTAGATAATTGGTGGTGGAATTATGCTAAGAGTGTCGCTTGCTGACTGTCTGACGTGATGATTTTTATCTGCTTTTTTATGAATAATTGATGAAATAAAGTTGATTTTTTGATTAATGTATTGCGTGGAACCTTTATATTAGTATTTACTATTCTTTTTTTTTTTTTCCCTGGGCATATCAATAATTTTTCGTTACTGATGGGCAATCTAGAAGAGAAAGTTTGGAGAAGGAAAAGAATTTGATTCTGAGGATGTGTTCATGAAGAGTGTAGTTTGGTGCATTCTGTTGCATTTAACAGCTTGTTAACAGTTATAAGACACTGACCTTTTGTATGTCTGAAAGAAATATTGATAAGAGAGATGGGTATTACAACGGGATTTTTATATTTTGGGAACTTTAAAATACAACGAAAGAATCAAACCTTCAAAATTTCTATCTATAAATACAAACTTTCTATTGACTTTTTTTGTTTATACTTTGATTAATCAATATCTCATGCTTATATAGAATTGCTGAGCTTATGTTCTTGAGTGTAAATTTTGCATGATCAACAATGGGCTATTATACTGGCAATGTGGTGTTGTTAGTTCATAGTTCTATGGTATTCTGTAATATCTAAAGAGAAGAGAAAGGGAAGGAAGTGGAAGAAAAGGCTATTTGAAGGGCTGGAGTACATAATTTGTATTGATTTTAACCGAATATTCACCCTTTCTACTTTTGGTATCACATAGAATTTGCCAGTCACATTATTTGATCTTGTTGCTTCAGCTAGGAGATTGTTCAGTGCAAGGCAATGTTTAAAAGGGGCACTTTAGGATTTGCATACCATTTTAAATCTTTCGGATAATTGTCTAACCCACAATCTCATTTCTTTTCTGATTTAATCACTATCACTATCATCTTCATTTGTTTTATTCTATCCCTTCTTTTTTAGCCTTTAACTGGAATGATAGTTTTGAAGACTGAAAGATTTGTACTTAAAATTCATTAGGTTTGTTATAACTTCGTAGATGCTTGTTGAATATGGGTTTCTTATAGGCAATATTAGAAGTAGAATGCTAATTTAAAAGTTTACTGAACATATAGAAAGAAGTGCATTTCTTGTGGGTTTTGATTTTCACATCTTATGAAGTTTCTGATTTACCTGCTGAGTGACCACACTGAATGTATGGGTTCTGATATGTGGAAATTAAACTGGTGGAAGGTGCTCATTTAAAAGTAAGGAATCAATTTGTAGGCTCTTTGTTTGTTGGTGGACAAGTTTATGAGGCTGTGACTAGCTCAATGTTATTGCTGACTAGTGAGTACTTCCGGATCAAATAACAATCTTTATTTGAAAATAAAAAGTTCAAAAAATGGTTTTGTTGATTTGGGACTGATGAGATTTATGCCTATGTTTGTGTGAAAGATTACGAAAGAGAAAAGAAAATAATATCGAGAATCCAGAAAGGGATGAACGATAAAGTTATGGCAATCTTATCTATAATTTGATACGTTAGCACGGATCTTGAGTTGAGTTACATGCATAATGGCATGGATATGGCAGTGATTTAAGTCACACACAGCATGACTGTGATAGGTTCACAGGTCAACTTTTTAAAATAATAATGACATAGAATTTGCATGGATATATTGAGAAATAATTCATGCGTTTCTAAATGAGTGCATGCATATATGTCAAGAGAAAACATATAAGATAATACTATAGACATAAATTCCCTTTTTGATTTTATATATGCACAACTCGTGTAATGAAGTCAAGCATGCAAATTTTTTCTTTTCACTAAAAATTGTTAAAGTTTGCTTTCATTCCATCTCCCATCTTCAACTGTAATTCTTTCAGTAGTTCACTCCAACTTGAGCTGGAAATTGTTTGGCAACATGAGCATTCTGTTCCATTAATTTAGGCTTCAAAGTTTTTCAAGCTAGTAGTTGGAGTTGAGTCTTTTGTGTTGGTTAGACCCCGTGTGGTGTTATCCGCTCGAGGAAGCACACACTAACTAATCCGTCCATTGACGGGCCATGAATAGACAGTATTTGAGTTCAAAATTTGTAACAACCCATTCTACATTGGATAGGAGGTGCTTTAACTATGGTTCGGTGTTTTGATCATTACAATTTTGTATCAATTTTGCTAACATAGGTGAATCTACCTGCATGAACAGTTGAACACACGCACTTTGCAAAAGCATGCTTATCAGCATATTGTATATACATTAATGCAATAGTTCTCTCTTCCTTGACACGCTCTCATATTTTCGCTGTTTCATTGGATATTCAATATATTATATTTAGGTTTCAAAATAATAGGTCGGAGATTTGAAGTCTACCATTCTATAATAAATGTGCAACTTCGAATCTTAAATTTTCGAGAATATGCTTTCGGAGTGACCAATAAATGTATGATGGGTGTTAGAGAAGTATCCACTGAGGCAAATGCATTGAAGTTTCAATTTAAATATGAACATGTTGAAAGGATTGTCTGACACAAACACTCTGCCTTAATTGGACATTTCCATTCCTTCGGTTTTCTTCAATCAATGTTAACTAATTCTGCAAAGGATTTAAATGGCTGAAGTTGATGGTGCTTAATTTGAAAACGTGGTAAAAAGATTTAATGCTTTATGAAGGGCACAGCTACAGATCTCACAATTAGTAATTTAAAAAGAATGAATGGAAGCCACAGAGATGTGACTCTGGTATCATTGAATGGAAATTACTTTACTCGAGGCTAGAATTCTGTTAGAAGGCCATGCCTGAAGTTCAATGGTGTTTCTGTTGCTCTGATTATTATGATAATTGTTTTGCTCAGTCAGGAAAACTATTTGTTAGATCACATCAATTAGATTCCATGAGTCCTCGGGCAGTCTTATATGAATAATGTACTATTAAAGCTCATCCATGGCATATTTTATCTGAAAACATCGATATGGCAGATGAAGTTGTGTTACATTTGTTTTGAATTTTGTCAATTATGAGTTATAAAAGTTAATTTCCAACACAAACATTAGGGTTCAATTTGTGAGCAACCTGCAGTGATTGATTGCCTCTGCCAACCAGTTCTTTGACCCTATTGATATTTGATCTGTCATATTGAACATTTAAAACAAATTCCATGCTCTGCAGAGCACAACTTGTGGTTGCATGGCTCAAGAACTGGACTGCTACTGATCATGACCCCAACATGCATTTATCATAAATACAAAGAGGTCTCTTTTCATGTGCATCCACTTGCTGCCTTCTTGAAAATTTCTTCTATGCTTATAACCAGATAATATATATGTGATGATTTTTTCTGCTATTTCTTAATTATAAATATTTAAAAATATTACTTTTGTTTCCCAGGGGGATCTAAAGTGGCTGCCATGTGGCTTTTGTTGACTCGATAACTGCATGATCAGAGTAATATTATGTAGCTTTGTGCATAGATGCTATGCAGAGACCTTGTTTTACCTGACTAGAGCTACAATGGGCAGCTTCCGCATGAATTTTCAGCAACCATTACTTTTATGTACTCTATTGCTTCAAGCTCTGGCAAAAGAAACTGAAGCTCTTAGTCCTGATGGTATGGTGATATATTTTTTGTTCGCTAATTTCCTTCATTTTGCACGAGTACTTATGTATAGACTATCTAAAGATGTTTTGAGATGTCTCTTTTCAGAGTAAATAAATATTGCAGCTATGTAAATAAAAAACACCATGACATACAAGTCTACTGCAACTTAGAATGTGTTTATTTGCTTACCTTCCTTCCTGTTAAGTATAATAAGCATCTACTACCTGTCAGAAATTTCATTTATACAGCTCCTTTTCGAACAATAAGACATGTTGGGATCACAGCATCTGCCAACGTTATTGTCACACAATTGGTTGCATAGTCATGCAAAAAATGATTATACTTGAAAAAATGCTTCTGATTTTCAGGAGAAGTGCTGGTCAGCTTTAGGACAGCCATCATTAGTTCAGACGGTGTCCTGCAGCAGTGGAGACCAGAGGATCCTGATCCATGTGGGTGGAAAGGAGTACAATGCGATCCCAACTCAAAGAGAGTTACAACCTTGTGAGTTCCACAATGTTTTGAAATTTCTTAAAGACAATTTTTTTGTGAAATATATGTACTTGGAATGTGCAAAGCTTTAATGCTTGTATATGACTTTGGATACCAAATGGAATATTTTCGTTGCTTCTCTCTTTTTGTTCTATCTTCGTTTCTCTTTTGTAAAGTCCCAAAATAATGTCACTTGCCTGAAATAAGCAGTTTCTGGTTTGTTAGCTAAATGAATAATTATCCCATTTCTCAAACAACTACACATGAAATTTATTGTTAGACAACTTCAGTAATCTGATGAAAGGCAATCACTTCCACACATGATAATCCTATCACGTTGTTAGTAGTATTTGCATAGACTAGAGTATTTTGCAAGAGCATGGATATACGTTCATTGTATAGCACTTCTAAGTAAATGGAGTACTGAAATTTAAGAATCAATTTCAATATAAATTTTTTAATATGGACCCTAACATGAAGAAAATACTCTTTTAACTTGAGAACTGATCAAACAATCAATTTATAAAACAACTTTTTAAATCCAATTTTGGTTTAGCTAAGAAAATTGATAAAAATCTAAGTTGAAGTCAATAATCGCATTTCCTGGAACCCACAACTTTTATCAACTTTTTAACCATACATTTCATCAACTTTGATCGAAATTTACCAAAAAATTGATTTTTAGCTAAACCAAACAGTGGCATATGGTTCTTTCTTTTCCTGTTTTCTTTCCTTCAAATTTACAATGCGATAATATTTTACCTCTTGTTTGTATTAGAGTTATTTTTCCCAAGTTATTGAAAGTTTCATGCTATGGATATCAGGAATATGCACCTGGTTTGATGGACAATAGTTTTTATGCAGAAATTTACTTCTAATAATTGGTATCACTAAATGTCCAGGAGCCTCCCCAACCACAAGTTTAGCGGACCTATATCACCAGATATCGGGAAGCTAGAAAGTCTGCAATTTCTGTATGTATCTTTTTCTTGTTCTTTCCCATCTATTGCTATACCTACTGTTGATACTGTGATCATTTTTTGTTTGTAGAGCTCTTCATGGCAACAATTTATACGGGTCAATCCCTCCAGAATTGGGAAATCTTACAAGTTTGCGGTCAATGTAAGTATAATAGGGAAACTGTTTGTTTGAAGTTGACCGCATTGTCAATATTGCTGACAAGCTCGTGTTCAGTAATTTGATCCCGAGGATATAATCTAAAAAGTGGTATTTATGCAACACAAAGTATTTGAGGATGCCTAAATCTTAATTCTTTTCATCATTTATTAATCTCTGCTCCAGAATTTCCTGCGAAGAAACAGTCGGAGTTTATATAAAACTTCAAAAGGTGGTTACAATTTATGAAGACGACTAACATCTCGAAAAATATGTTAGCTGCTTAGCAGTCATACTTTTTCATGTCAAAATATGTCATGGACAGATAATGCCTCGTGCAAAGATAAAGTTGGTATCTCTATTGAGTATTGACTGTGTTTCGTTCATTTATAGAGTCAAAGTATAGAAATTAAATGTATTTCTCAAAAAGAAGCTCTTTTTTTGATGGTCTTGGCGTTGCACTGGCAGCCTCTTCCACATCTGCCTTGTAACGTAATATTTTTTTGTTTAAAAATTTCCAACGTCTTTTTGTCCGATGAACAGAGACGTGTCTGTTTGATTTGACTCAAGATGATTATTAATCTGAGTTTCATACAAATTATCAAGTGATAGCTGGACGAGAAAAAGGATGATACATAGTTGCATCTTTTTCTAATTCATCACTGCTGTTTTCTTTTCCTTTCTAGTTTTCTGAGTCGTGAGGAATTCTTGATTATCCTTTATACAGATTCTTGCAGGGTAACTACTTAAGTGGATTTATTCCGAGTGAACTGGGGAACCTTTCTCAGCTTGAGAATCTGTAAGTAATTTTATCTGCTCTATGAAGACTTATCCCAGTGATTCTGTGGCATCCACAATGAGATTTGAAGTATGTAGATGTGGTCAAGACTTCTGGTTCTATTAATGTGATAGACAGGCTTGATATGAAAGCCATCAAAAGATTTCACCATTTGTCTATTCCTTCCATTGGATGCTAAGCTGAAGTTTTCACCTCTAGCCTTTAGACACGCCAATGTATACTTCCATAATTGACAATTGTTAACAACCTTCCCTTTTATTGATGAAGAAAAATACCAGCTGATGTCATTTTAGGATAGCTAGTGCCCTCATCTGGGTAAGGATGATATAATTTATTGTACCTTTCTGACTGTTGGATTAGATGTTGCAACATTGATTATACTCTCCTCCAATTCCCAATGTCTTTGAACAAACATGATAAAAGGTGATTGCTATTTTGCTAAATCATGTCTTACATAAGATGCAGTCTCAGGCCAGATCATTAAATCAGTTTTTTCTTCAGATAAAAGGATAGTGGTTCAAAAATGTCTATGCTATCAGCTTGCGTTCAATAAATGCTCCTTTTATCCTGAAAAAGAAAGTTATATGTTCTTGCAGCGAGTAGACAGACTTGGAGAATCTAGAGTGAACACTTAAGCACGATATTTCTATTGAAGGAAAACAAATTTCATTGCCCCATGACCAAATGGGAGAAAGTCTCGATAGTCAAATAAGAAGGAACCACGTAATAATTAGTGAGATAGGTCTAAGTGGTGTCACATAGATATATAGCCCGTTTGGTGCACATTAAAATGAGAGAATGCATTTTTTTTAAGTGATGTGATGTGGAATATATGGTTGAAAAAGAAGGAAAAATTATAGATGTGCTGGAAAATATTATTTTATTGAAGAACGTGTGGTTGAAAATAAGTAAAAGAATGAGAATAAAAAAAATAATGTGGATCAAACAAGGGCATAATATCAAATTTATTATTAATTGAGAGCAAACTAAACAGAGAGAAGAGATTGAAGACAAAAAAATTTACTTTGGCAAGTTGGCCTTTCCTCAAAACTTTTGGGCTTTGTTCAAGCTAAGCAGAGTAAGTATTTCAAGCGAGACTATCTCCCGGAGTGCCTTTTCTTTTTCCTCCTTTTGCTTTTAGCTATAGCCGAGAAGCTTCTGTTTATTGATAATCTGAGAACCAGGGTTCTTGACAATATCTTGTTGTGCTTCTGACAAGAAATGGTTAGGAATTACACTAGCCATACTTTTAAATCTGCCCATTCAGCCTTATCTTCAACAGTATAAGAGGATTTTGATATCCCACATAGAAATGCATTTTTAGTTTTACAGGAGTCCTCTCAAAGTTAATGATTTAATTCTCTGCTGGACTTTTTTAGAGACCTCTCAAGCAACTCTCTCAGTGGCAGCGTTCCTGCATCTCTTGGGAAGTTGAGCAAGCTCTCGACTTTGTGAGTGCCTATAATTTCCAAGTTACATCAGTCATTGGGTGGTTTCTTCAGGTGTAGTACTTATTTGTTGCTCTCTTACAATGTTTGCAGCAATGTGTCAACAAACTTTCTGGTGGGGTCAATACCCTCTGATGGTATTCTTGCCAATTTTCGTAATGATTCGTAAGTACAAAATATCTATAATCTTTTATTGAGTGGTCCATAATATCAGTATGCTTTTTGACCTTCATTGTGAAGCTGGATAATGTGTACCTGTTAGTCTAATCTTGCTTTCTGGTCTACTACACTCGTTGTCTGATTTTCTTTAGGGTTTGTTTGAGCCTCATTTTTTTGGGATAATGTATTTTGTAATAGTGATTTTTTGGAGAATGTGTGGTTAAACGTTGAGATACGTTTTTGGTTTACGTGTAAAATTATTTTATTGGGAGAATGTGTGGTTAGAAATGAGTTTGAGAAAAAATAAGTTGTTAAATAATGGGGGTCAAACGTGGGCTTAATTTTATTTTCTTATAGTTTTTGATTGCTAGTACTATTTGTTATCCAATTATTAATTTCTGTTGTAACTAAAAATTAAACTATTACACTGTATTTAGATTTTAGAGTGGGAGTGAAAGAAGAAAATATGGGAAATTTGAAAACTTTCTTTTGTCTTGTATGGTTTCAGAATACTATTTGTCATCAAATCATTAATTTATGTTGAAACGAAAAGTTGAACTATTACGCTGTATTTAGAGTGGGAGTGAATGAAGAAAAGAGGGGAAATTTGAAAACCTTCTTTTGTCTTGTATGGTTTCAGAATATAGAAGAAAACGAGAAGGGAAAGAAAATAGGTTTACTCTTGAAGTCTCCACCTAAATAGTTCCTAAATTTCATTTCCTCTCATTGTAACCCAAATGAAAGAATGGAATATTTCTCCTGTGGTTTGCTTGAAGGCACTGTTATGGTTTTCTGTTTTTCTGTTCTTTGTAATAAAGG